ACTACTATGCTATACACAATACCTACACTATATACGTATGTATAGTTGCTAAATAATATTGCAATAATATACATATTAGTATATCGTAAAAATAAACTACTATAGCTATATAGGCGTATATTGAGAATTTGAACCGTAAAACGGTTCCGTGGAGAAATTTGATCTCGTACTATGTTATTCTAGGTATATGAAAAATAACAATTTAATCATGGTTGAATTACTGTTTTAATGAGTGGCCTAGCTGGCATTATATTACTCTGCAGTCGAATTGATTTTCACGCAGATCAAATTCAGAAGACGTGTATTAAAACTATATCGGTTTTGCAAGGATTAAAGTATTAAACCATAACTGGTATTTAAAATAGCATATAACAACAATATAATGTAAAAAATATTATTTTTATCAGGATAATAATAATTCAACACGACCACTGTCCACTAACAATGAAATATTTACTACCCACTCAAAAACTAGAACAAACAATTATTGATATTGTTTCAAAACCACGAGGTTAACAGACGTCGAACTAAATTATAGACATCTAAATCGTATATCACGGGAATCGCGTGATTACGTAAAAAAGATAGAAATAGCGTTTAGTGTGTAGCGGAAGCCAAACACTTGAAATGTAGTCGAACACTACATCATAAAAAAAAACAAAAACATAATATTTTTGGTAAAAACCACAATACAAACGACTTATATTGTACGACACGAAATGTTAAATGAAGTGTGCGAAACGGGTTTGTATAGAAATGTTGTTTAAGTGTTGTGTTGTTTGTGCATCGATCTATTTTTTTTTTTAAATACCCTATTTTTAACTAAGTATTTTGTTTGAAAAAAAACACCACGCAATAGAACTCTTTGGAAAAAATAAAATACTAAATTTAATATAGCCAAGCAAATAAATATCTAAATATTTAATCTAAAACTGCTTTTTTTTTTCTCCTCTTTTATAGATTTTAAGTAATATACATATATATACAAATGTAATGATAATGGCCTTAGTAGTCGGAACAGACATTTTTATGATTTCAAGATGAATAAAAAAAACTTACTATTGTTATCTATAATACTTATTAAGAAGCTTTAAAGTCAATGCTGATGCACTGTACAACGGTGTCGTTGTGTCTTGTAGTGAAATACTGAAATAATAAACTATAATAATTAGTAATTAGTACCTACTTAATAATATTAGCTTCTCATATCTCAATATCTTATACCCTACAATCAGAACGTGTATATATATTATCAAAAGAATAATCGATTTGAATTTTGGTGCACATTAAATTCATATTTTTTGCTACCTGAAATGGTGCAAATTACATTTCTTTATTTCGGTAAAAATTATACAAACTCACCTCAAAAATGTTAGTTCAAATTATATAATAATATGTTGTATATAGTTTGGGTCAAGTTTGGTATGAAAATTGACTACAGCCCCCAATACGCGCATACGCGTCCTGATGAATTATGCATATTATGATTCTATATGTGCATGTACCTGCCTACAAGTGTGTAGATATGCGTCTTGAGTATAGTTGTGTCTACGTTCATGAAAAGTTATAGGGTGCACCATAGTACCATGGTACTCGAAATAAACATATATACGACTCGAAAATACTTTATAAGCCGATTATAAAACATTCTCTCCTCCTGGTGCCGGTAGGTATGCGAAATAATCGATTAAAACATAATGCTCAAAACACATTGAGCATCCACGCCACCATCCATAATACGGAAAATATAAAATGCATATTGCACAATATTATATCATATACATGCCTAACTACGTGTAGACGAAAACCTTCGTTATTGTTGCTTTTGAGGTTCGATATACCTAATAATAATATTATATTATGTAGATTCTCGGCCAAGCACGTGCATCGGCCCACTACATATTATTATTATTATATATAATTGCGGGTGAGTTGACGATACCTGACACCTGTCGTCACGAAACGACGTCGAGACGTCTCACGTTTTTAGAACGTGATGCACGGAAGGGGGAGGGGGTCGGGGCACGGAGACTTACGTCATATTTTCGGGTTATTTCCGAGCGCGTGTCACAAAAGCCACCAAATGTGCAGACTCCCAAGTGCAGCATTTCCCGAGAAGACGTGTACGGAGAAAATCAAAACAAATAACGAAAAATTGTCTTTATTTTAAGATTGACGATCGGCCGCATAATATAACATAGTAGGTACGTATATTGGATGCGGGTTTCCTAATGCATTGTCAAATATAAGCGGCGTAACACAATTTGGAAATACTGAGCAAATTGTTCGATTTCCTCATATACTTGGTATTTTAAAGGTCATTTTCTATAGAAAATTGTAATAAATTGAAAATATCAAATCCAAGACTACGAGTGTTATATTGTTATTTTCTCCGAAAAAGTATTTTCATGCGGGAAACAATCCAAAGTAATACGCAATATACAACATATGCATACGAGGTAGATAATAACTTTATATTATGTGCGATAGAAGATCCGTTTTTTCAATCTTACATTTTCACAACTGCGATTGTTGTTTTAGTTTTTTAGAAGAAAGTTTATAAGGATTTATGACACCAAAAAAACGTATTTGGCATTGGAAACGTTTATTTATATTCAAGTTTAAGAATATTGTATTTTAATTTAGAGTGTATATTATTATGACCAATAAACAATGGGAAATGAGGTATAGGTACATATTGTCATATTATATGCAGTGGTGTATCCAAGATTATGAAATAGAAAGGGAGGGGGGGTAACAATGTTTTTTTACAGTTTTTGTTAGGTTTGGTGTGTATAATAGTATAAACGTGGCTTGGCTTGGCGCGTTGGCTGCGATCAGTTACGCAACGTGACTGAGAGTAAGTAACAGCCATTGCCACTAGTTCCCGGATGGGTGACCACCCGGAATCATAGTGCACAAAAACCTTGGAACATATACACGTGTTGTTAACCAACCATACTAACCGTCCCAACCCTACTGTATCAACCCTACCAACCTACTAATGACCTCAGTTGTCAATTGTCAAAGACTTAATCCAATAATGAAAAAAAAATAAATAGTATAAATAATAAAGCATTTAAAAAAGGCAATGGGAGAAAGGGGGTCATAAAACTCACCCACACACTATCTACTCCACTAGAAATGGGTCTTTCCCGGATAAAATAGTATTTAACATTAAATGGTGTCGGTTTTATATAAATTATCTTGCAATTTATTACGCAACAACAAACACAAATGCTACAGATTTAAGACCATTAGTCAGAAATTTTGTTTTTATTATTATTTCATTGAAATGACCTTTATCAAGTATGAACCCATTCAACCCCTTATAAAAAGCGTTAGTCAGATGTCTTTATTAGTATCATAGTTTGTATATAATATATTATTACAGTTTGTATTCAGCAGAGGAATATTTGGCACATACTAAGAATAAAAAATCCAAATATTTTATTGACTTCTTTTACGAGGTGTTTGTTATTGTAATATACATACTCATAGAAAGCATCGCGCATAAAAATTGAAAGCCAAATCCTTATTTATAAGGAAATTACGTAGAAAACGATCATCTCGCGTCCATCGGCAAGCACATAAAATTGCATTATACATTATAATAATATGTATACACACGTGACACATATATAATATGTATATATGTATATTTAGAATGTAGGATTATATAATGTATATGTAGGATTTATTTTCTAAACCCCACCTGGAATGAAGTTTACGGGTCTCCGAAGAAGAATAACGATCGCTGGTCTAATTTATATATGTATACGTGAATCTCGATCCTCTTTATTTTCGTTTTGGACTTTTTGCTGTACGGCACACTTCTTATTTATCCATAATTACCATCTAGAATCGAGAGGATTACTGACTGTAGCAACAGTGGAGTAATTACGGGGGGGGAGGATTTGTATCCCCCATGAGTCATGACCTCTTTTTTTTTAATCTTCAAACACATTTATGTACTAATTTTATTAATGTATATTTTATAGATAATATAAAAATCACCCGAATCTCCATAATATTATATAATCATCCATCAATATTATCAAACAATATTATTACTAAAAAATAAGTGATGTACTTTCCACATTATCGGTTTATCAGAATATTCCCAATCGCAACGACTCTCCGGACTCCGACCTCCGTTAGTCTGTTACTATGTTCTCATTTGGTAATAAACGGCTCTATTAAAGTGCTTAATGAATTAGCATTGAGACCTCGAAGAGTGTATTTTTTATTGTGATTTGTGATGTAACTGTATCTAGTATCTAGGACCTAGGTGTCAATAAAGTTAATGTTTAAATGTATCTAAATGTGAATATCTAAATATTATGTTATTATTTATTTTAATGTATAGTGTATACAATATTACATACAGATCATAATGGTTGTATACTTGTATTGAGAGGTGCTTCTTGCTTATATAATAATAATAAAAAAAAAATATTGAGGGGGGGTGAATTGGTGAAATTTATGTACATTTCATCCCCCCCCACTCACAACCATGACCAAATTACGCCACTGTGTAGCAACTAACTGCTGAGAACCATTATAGTTTAGCGTGGTTAAGATTGGTTGTTGGAATATAATTGTGACAAATTATTTAATTTGTAAAATTAAATTGATGATAAATCAATCAATTGACAACTTTGACAATAATTAATAATAGCGTTATTACTACTTCTTATTAGCAGCTTTCTCAAAATATGAATAAAATCCAGGCAAATACTGATAAGTTATAAGTATTGTACATTTTACCAACTAACTCATAACAGACATTTTTATTTAGATTCATTGAATAATACTCGCCACGAAAAAATTGTTATGGGAAAGGAATAACAATTCACTAACACGTATTACGGTTAAATTAATGATAGAATAATCTGTAAGCTTTAACGGCGTGAGCAGAAATTAGGCTTTCAGAGACTATAATATCATTTATAATATACGTTTATAGATTAATAACAATAATAAAAATTATAATGGGCTTACCCGTTGTTGTAACGCGAGTTCCGGTGGACTTCCGGCCTGGAGACGTTGTATAGTAGACGACATTGTTGTTTCGAAGATCCACCAGTGACCGGGTAGAAATGGTTATCGACCGCAGGGTACCTGCAGTATGGTGGTGGTTTGCAACCAGCTTCCCAATACTCATATAGATTTTCGTCTAGAAAAATCACAAGAGAACAAGGTGAAATGTAATTTATGTATATTACAGTCAATTTGAGTAACTAAATAAAAGTTCGAGAAAAACAAAAGAAAAATTTTGAATTATCCTCGAGAATTTCGAGTTCGTAAATTTTTGTTTTTTCAATTAAGTATATAGTGATTCGGTAGTATTAACTAATTACTAATTTTATACTTGTAGGTAAATATTCAAATGTGTGCAATTAAAAATAATATGCTAATATATTAATAATATAACATGTATATCAAGCCTTATTAATATTATTAACGATAATGTTATAAATAATTAATAAAATAATCAACTTGACCAATAAATTTCAAAATAATATAATGTTCTCGAGGATACCCGGGCACTGCGAAATAACTGGTAATGAAAGAGCGGACGTTCTTGGCAAAGAAAAAGCAAACAAGCAATATAAACGAAACTTCTGAATTACCTAGACAAAGACTTAAAAAAACATTTACAACAGATTAAAAACCAAATAGCAAAATTACAAAATAAGTGAACATTAAATTAAAAGAACAACAGAAAAATGGAATAATCCAAAGTAACTCAAACGAAGAGATGATGTTTTTTTTAAATTGCTTCAGAATACGTCATACACACACACATGCTTATTTTATGAAAAAAGAGACACTAAGAACGTAGAAAACATATTTTCATGGAATGTAGAAAGACCCGGCAAAAATGTGATATCAAAATTTCGACGGGCACTTGGCTCCGACGAAGACATTATTAATAAAAGCACCGTCATTTATGAAACATATTAAACTGTACAATTTAGTTTAAGCTTGATCTACGTATGAAATACAAGCCAATGGTCAATGGTTATCAAGGCTTTATTAACATTAATAAAAAATAAATAAATTTGAAATGATTATATTACCTATAGCTTAGGAAATTTGAGTATTTAAAAAAAAACCTTTATCTGTTTTTGTTTTTTATTCTCGTTTTTCATTCAAGTTTTTTTTTCAAATACATTACATTTGAACCCAACATAAGCATCGATGTTATTCGATATTTACTACTGTACAGACCACTTTGACGCGTGTCACCCTTTGATACGTATATTTTTTTTCTCTGACATACTCCCGACAAATAATGACGATTTGTGAGCATTACAAAATACAAATGTTGTAGGTAACTCGTAATAATGGGTCTAGTAGTCTCCGATATCATTACTGTTATGTATTGCAATTGCAGGCCGTGTTCGGGATAACGACATCTGTTGAATCGATCCAAGTAAATATTCCATAGGGTGATTCACAAAGCATGCCCTCTGTTTTCGTCATTAATATAGTTATTCAAAATCTGGTTAATGGATATTAACGACACACGACAATAGTTTAAAATTATTGAGATATTTTTAGACTGTTCAAGCAGTGTTCTGAGGGTATACAAATCATTTGTTTTTCAAATGAAAACCCCCGTTTTAGTTGTAAATTATTCAGAGAATTATTGATCTAAATATGTTTACGTATCAAAATCAATCTTAAAGTATATCTTTAAAAATTTCAAATTATAAATTGTTAAATGTAAAAATTGGAGTAAAGATTTTTGGTGAATCACACTGTATACTTATATATTGTTATTGTTATCGCGGAAGCATGACAGATATTTCGTTTGTCGTAGTATCGTACACGCATCTCCTCAAATCTATAATACCGATCACAAAATAGGTTTTTACCCAATGGGATACTATACTTTTCTAATGTTTATGTATGTCCGATGTACATCCTATATCCACCCTGCCTGTAATACAGTTTTTTTTATAGGCATACAAAACGGACCTCTTGTTTTAAATTTCTATAAACGAAAAATAACAAAGAAATAATAGAAAAACTTACTATCTAAGACTCGTGACTGAGCGAGGGTCTCAATGATAAATAATAAATATTACGAAATATCGTTGTTGGGGTACATATAATATATAATAAATTATATAGCATCAATCCTAGTACACTACCCGACCAAGTCATTCAGAATTCGCCATATTATTTAACCACGATATTGTGGTCCTGGTCGGTGAACCTATATAAACACAGTGAATACACAGTGCATTTTATACATGCTCGTTTATATAAGTATACCTACATCGGGCTACATCAGGCCATTTCTTTATAAACACCGTAAACAATTATATAAAAAGCATTTGGAAATATTATTGGTGTTTAATAGCGTAGGTATAACTAGATATTTTAAAAATCAGAATTTTATAAACACAGTGAAACCTCTGAATAGCGGACATACTTGGTCACCAAAATTCATCCACTATTTAGAGGGGGAACATTTTCGAAATTCATAAAATAGCAGAACAGCGGTTCTTAAACTGTTGGAAGTACTTACGCGGAACCCTGATGACAAATTTTTTCAAACCTTTGGCTTTTTACAATAAATCTCATGATATCATAATCTGCTATATTACAAATAACATATTAAGAAGGTTATAAAAACAGGGTACACGTTTCATTATTATTTTGAATTCACTTAATATTATTATACGGACATTTAAAATTTGATTTTTTAAATTTATTTTAGGTAAGTACCTACAAATTTTATTTTATTCAAAGTGCTGTGTTTTACCTGACATAGGTTTTTGAACATCGCGGGCTCAATACTTGAAAGCTTTAATTATAGTTCAGCCTCTATGTTTTCTAAGTGGTTTCAAAACTTGATTTTAATATAAACAATAGTGGAGTAGACTTTTTCACTTAAATAAGCTGCGGGAAATGGAATTAAAACTTTCAAAGCTTTACTTAATACTACCGCAGACCCCCTTCATGGGTGTCAGGGTCTCCTGGGGGGTCGTACACAACATTTTATAATAACCGCATAAATAGACCATTGCCAGATCAATAGAAAAATAACACTGAAGATATATAACTTTGATAACCTTTTATAAATTAATATGTATATGTGTTGTAAAAAGTGATGAACATTCATCAAAATATTAGATAATAGAAGTGGATTAACAAAGCAATATAATTGTTTGTTATAAGTATATTGTTATACATTAGGAAGTAGTAACACATTTACGTGAATGACTCGAAAAAAGACCAATATTGATAAGGATAAATATAAATTTTTTTACATTATTGAAAAATCAAAATAATATGAAATCGTTTATTCAAACCATAAAATAACGATATAATACCATAGTGAAAAAAAATTACAAATTTACCGAAAAATATGAAAATAGCATGAAAAAAGAAACATAAATATCAAACACAATTCTAACCTTACTCATAAGTCATATTATATGAGTCTGCATATATCTATGCATAGAGGAATATTTCATGACATTTATAAAAAAACATAAAAATTGTGCCAATAATGCTTCATATAGGTATATACAGTCAATCCGTTGCCTGAAATCGTAATAATGTGGTAATGCATCCCATATGCTTACTTGGATCGGGCGGGACGAGGGCCAGAGACGATGAACTAGGTGAGCATTGGCAACAGTCGTACCGGGCCACCGACCGAGCTCTTGTTCTACCGACGGGGGACTTGTTGCTCTTCGCCGGACCCGGCACGTATACGAATTCGGATCGCGTGGACACCGGTCCGGCCGCCGACGACAGTGACACTACTTGGTGGTCTGCCGAACAGTCTGTCGTGTCACTGGAGTGCCTCCACGACACCTCCCTCAGGTCCAGGTCCCAAGGGTCAACGTACTTGCGGTGCTGAAAAAATGTCATTGATTTTTACCACCTAAATATTATTATTTAAACGTGGCGGATCTTTGGATATATATTGTTTTCTGCAAATTACTTTAAAATCTTGCTATAATATTATATTCCATATAAATATGCAGTTATTAATTTATATAGGTACCGGTAACTTTGCTCACAGGCCACTGATATGTGCCTAAAATTACATCGGTTTTAGAAAATGTCAACAGTAAGATTATCTTCTACAGTTCTACTACTGTTGTCCACAAGCAGAATTTCGAAAAAAAACGAGATAAAATTGCAGAACACAGTATTACCGTATATTTTGTCAGTATTTGACTTCGAAGGTATATAATATATATTATATATTATATTTAGCGATGAAAAAAACTTAACGAACACTTCAGTAACAACGGGTTTTGTCCAAAAGAATTTACTGCCACAATGACTTGGAAATTGGAATACTTTAACCATTTACACAAATGCTATCCAATCCGCAAGATATATTATAGTACTATGCCATATACATATTGTGAAAAGTTATTAAATTGAAAAACGTGTAGTACAAAATCTATTATATTTGATTTTTTTTCTCCTCTCTGAAAACTCTGATTTAAAACCAACATCAAATCTTTAAATGTGATGAAAAAAAGAACATGTCAACTTATTGAACCGAGAGCAAAATGTTGTTTTTTTTTAAACACCTATTATCGTTTATGTTCGTAAATATATCTAACATACACTTTTTCGTATTCCAACACTTTTTTAAATTATCTTTTGGATCATCTTTCACATTTTCCTCTTCGGTGCCTTTAAGGTGCGTAAAACTTTTATAAAGAAAGTTTTTTTTTAATGTTGGTACTTTATTTTGAATATGAACGACGATCGTAAACGTTTTATCAATTTTTAAACACCAGCGGTAGGTATTCTTTTCTTTTTTTATGTTCACCCAACTAATGGAAATAATAAAAAGATTAATTACCATAATGAAAGTTTACTTTGTATGGCTTAGCATTACAGTTAATGGTGTTTGTATTGATAAAGGTTAGTCTTACGAATTGGATAATCATGGTTACTACCTACCTCTACGTAAATGAATGGCTTTGAGTGATAAAAATAAAAATTTAAATTACACTTACGTCTATACTGTTTATAGAACTGCTTTAAAATAATAAGTTATTTATTTTATTATGAAGCAGTTAAATGAAAACACCATGCAAACTGTCGAAAATACCGACTACTTATAGAACCGTTTTTGATCAGTAGCATACTAGCTTGACATTTTTTGATCATTCCTACCTATTTATAAGTAGACACTTGATAAGAAAATGTATAGTAGACAAAAACCGCTGTAACTCGTAATAATTACCAAAACTAAAATGAAATAATTTAAAATAAAAAAAAAAACAGAATATCGGGTTTTCATGCGATAAATTTACATAAAATATGGAAAAGAAAATAATATCTATGAATTTCGCTTACCATTGTAATCGAAGACGAATCGGACATTTTAGCGCTTATTGGTCTTTTCGGCGGTGTCGACGACGACCTCTGTCTCCGGCGACAATGCGTATTATAGTAGCAACATTATAGCATACTGATAATAATAATAATAGTATAGTATTAATGGTAGTAGTAATGGTAGTAGTAATATTAGTAGTAGTAGTAGTAGTAGTAGAATATATTAGGTAGAAGGTACACACGAAGAAATTGATAGTGGCGAGTGTTAAGATACCTATATGCACCGATCGAGAGGTATACAATATATACACAGGTACTGCGACGGTAGGTATATTATACTTTCTTCTTTCGAAACCAGCTTCACGGTATTAACGTGACCAGCGTGAAAAATTGCCATGGAGGGATAACATAATTGGAAATGGATGAAATTCTGTTGTTTTTTTTTTTTTCGTATTTCAAAATCCAGAGAAATGTGTCTTACGCGAATTACTTTATAGCATTATTATTACTATTATTATATTCGCTGCAATCGGTCCATACGCGATTGAGATCATTATATACGGGATGTCGTGCAGCATTCCACATCGTCGTATGTCGGTCGAGATTCTTTATCACCTTTATTTTTTTTTCTTTCATCTTTTCGTTCCCGATATAGGTAGTTCGGACGAGTATGTAGTATAATAATAATAATAATCAGTGGCGTATCTAGGATTTTTTCAAGGGGGGGGGGGACATAAAAATTTTGTAATGTGTAAAAATAATAATAATAATTAGTAGGTATCATAATCTAGTATAGTTTAATTTCTAAAATCTAAAATTAATACAAATTCTAAAAACAACAACCGATTGGAACTTTTATTAATTATCATTGATCACGGACTTCAGTTAACTCACAACGGTCGTGTATGATTCAACTATTCTGGGTATTGTGTTAATATTTAAGTTGAGTACCTAATTCTACCTAAATTAAAATGTATTTTTTTCGTGACGCGTGTTTACATTAATCTTTTAATTTGGTCAAAATATGACTGGGTTGACAAAAAATAAATGGGTTGTGTGGCTAAAAATATAAAATGAAACTGCTCAAGAATCGAAAATAATTTCTGGTATGTTTAATAAACAGATAAAACTTGAGGTGATAACTAAGCAATAAAAAAAATATATTTTAATTTAAGATAATATTAATTTGTAAATATATCGTATACCTATATAAGAGTAATAGAGTATGGACTATAAGTGATGAATCAGGTAAAATTAATTTATAGATAACGCAGATGATATATTTTCAAAAATAAAAAAAAGAAGATATCCTAATAAACTACTAATATTTTCGTTTATCAATATAAATATAGCCGTATAATAGTTTGCAGACTTTTAACTGATATATGCGTATACAATTGTTTTTTTTAAATATCTGCTACCTTATATTTAAAAATTATGTTACCTAGTTAATAAAAAGGGTACCATAAACAAATTTAAGCAGATAATATGTAGTTGTGAGTGGTTTTTTTTTACCCATTCGGGCTGGTCAAAACCTTTGCCCCCTCTATTGAAAAACGAAATGATGCCACTGGTTGTATGATATTATTGAATTTAATACCATTCATTTTCGTTCATAGTTTAGGTTTTAGGTGAGCTGTTCAATCTTCATACAACTATCAAATAATTGTTTTAAATAAAAAAATAAAAATAACCTTCCCGGGGGGGGATATGACCCCCATATCCCCCCCGTAGATACGCCACTGATAATAATATAATATCCAGCTATATGACTACTACACGTCGTATAATGGATCATCATCGGTTGCGTGATTTGTATATAAAACACAATAAATATTCGGCTTTGTATAATAATATATACAATATAACATGAGTATTTTACTATTTTCATAATATAGTATACAAACGTGATTTATTTTTCAACGAGTTGTTAATATTCTCGTTTCCATATTATAACAAATACATTGAAATATTATAATATATATTTTATACTAAGTACCTATACGTATTAATATGTATATTATAGAGTTCAAGTATGATCGTTATATCGGCATAACAGGACGGTCTCGCCGGTGGCCATTTGAAGATTATTGTAAAAAACAACGTTCGCAACAATTATATTATATACTCGTTGTACGATAATGGGTAGGCAATATTATATTAAATCACAGTCAGTGGATTTATTTTTTTCATGACGAGTACACTTTTTTTTTATCTTTTGTGGAGAAATATTACCGTACCTATCGGTATATTATTTTTTGTTACAAGCATAGATTCGAATTGATCATTTCTTTTTACATCTGGATAATATATATTTCCCTATATTTTTCCTTTTTGCATACATGTTGCAGTTACACGATTTTCAACGATTGAATTATAACAGTCACTATACTTGTTTAGTATAAAAATATGTAGTGCATGCTTACATAATATATTATTTTAATATTTACTCAGCCACGTATTATACAATTTATATTTGAAAATGTATATAGTTTTTTTTTCTGTGTATTTTTAATTAAATGGGTAGGTAGGTATAACATTATAATAATTTTTTGTGCAATTTAAAGCCAGACTGTTACAGCTGAATTCTTTAACTTACAAACATTTTCATCATAATAAGTAAGAACTTACGTAAACCTGTTTAATTGTTAACTTTTTATAGCTGTTATATTATGTTTATAAGTTATATAAGTACCTACTTATTTTTATAATAGTTTAATTGGCTTATGTTTTTTATTATTTATAAATATTACAAACATTTATATTTGTACACATTTTGTGTTGAAAAGATTACCTATGTAGTATGTGTTATTGGTTTTTAAAAACTTCTGCTGAAATGAAGGAAATAATATATTTTGATACAATACCTATCATGTTAATGTGTATAACTTATCAATATTTTTTCATCCATTCGTACTAAAATATAAAACATATAATTATTTATTTGCGTGTTCAATTATCTATATTCCATATAATTCGACATAGTTAATCTAAATTCTAAGGAAAGGAATAGGGACTTTTGTTTACAAAAATAAATCAACGAGAGGGATCTAACCCCCATACGGCCATATTCATATCATAATATATCCCTCTCCCTCCAAAAGAACGCCAATAGGACCAAAATATTATAACATTGCATAATTGACAGAAAAAAAAAAGTTTTTCTGAAGCAAATAAAAATTCCAAACTATATAAAAAAAACAAAATAAAAATATAAATATAGGTGGTAGTAGGCATTTTATATATTTGGTATAATATAATGGTTTCATATTTTTTTAAATAAACTTTTTACTGTTTATTTTTACAAGCATTGTTTTAATTATAACTTTTTAAACATTTATGTTTCATAATTTTAACAACCTTGATTTTTTTTGGTTTTTTTCTCAATCTCTTATTTGTTTTTAATTAGTATATATTTGGCGTAATTTTTTTTATATAAAATAAAATAATTCTCTTCACAAATATTCTTAAAACGCATTAATATAAATCAAAGTGGATTGATTTTGAAGTTCAGTGATCTGTTATATTTAGTTTCAATCATTATAATTATATATATACAGTACAGTGTATACATAGTGTAAACACACTATAATGTATTATATCATATTATATACGTATATAGAGTTTGTCAAAAGAGGGAGAACTCGTCAATCGTTCCAGTTTGAAAAAAGTACATCAATATAATTATAAAAAGGCACTGTTCAACTGTACTCACTTGAGTACCCTACTAAAAAAAAACATCAAAAATATTGTTTACCATTCCTTAACCTAAAAAATAAGAACTTCTGGCCCGTCACATCAATTATGTGCTGGATCTTACGATTTTAGCCATGTATTTAAAATACACTACTTTGTACACATGATTAATCATTTGTGAAGTAAAAAATTAAAATGTACGTGATTGAGTAGTACCTACATATTGTTATAAATACTTATAAGTTATAAGTATAACGTTTATGTGTAATTAAATATTCGCCTATTTAGTATTTTTTTTTAATTGTATGTTCACTCTTCACGCTTAAATATTTTAATAAGAAAATAATGTAGTTTCAGACATTTATGGTAGACACTTATGAGTTGTGACCATTCGATGATTCACCAGAAGGTGCAATTTGGGACTGATATAAATTCTCTCTAAGTAACAACTAACTAAAATGCTATATAAATAACCTTTTGGCCCCAATAATGCACTTAAAAAATTTAACTAAAAATGATTTTTCTTTTTATTACAAAAAATCAATTTAATACATATTTTACATTTGATGAAGTTTAATAATTTAAATAATTTAAATTATGACGATAATAATATGACTCATTGGTGATTGTTTTTATCGGTGCACATCTTGGGGTTTATATTATTCATTCAAAAGTTCAAAACATACAAAAATATCAAATTAAGATTACTCGCTTATAATGGTACGTATAACTATTTTATAACTGTTCACGAATCACGAAACTACAAAACTTAATCACGAAAGTGCATTTAACCTCATTTCTCAAGATAATATTTTGGATTATCTACCTAATTATACTTTGAAACTAGAAAACTCGAAAATCCTATAACTATAACTTAATGTATACTCTTTTTAAGAGCAAATTGCGGATCCATTTTGTTACCAAGAACCTGACAATTTGATCGCAGACCAATAATTATTATTATCAAAATACTTAACACTAAATTGAGTACACTTCTGAGTTTTGTACTGTAAAAGCTAAAAATAACTTATATAAAATAATAGGTATAATTTTTTATTTTGTAGGGATTGTCATTGTCTCATCATAACTATATTCGGCCTTAGACTAGGGCATCGAGTGGTATGGTAGGTATTTGATTGAAGACTAGGTACGTTATTTCAGGATTCAGGTCCGTAAGAAAAACTTTTTTTGATTATATGATTAGGTAGTTGAAAAACGGTTAAAATTTTTAAAATCACATTAGGTCTTCGTAATGCTGAAATAGTAAAATATATAATCAACGAAAATATCAAGTCTTCTTAAGGTTATTCCTATTTATTAATTGTAATAAAATAATAAAAATAAAAATGAAT